TGGAAAGTTACAGAATGCAGGGGTTAATACTAAAACAAGAAACAAGGAAACATAGAGAAAAGTATCTATTTTCACTACAACTGTGCCCAGCACCAAGCGAGCTAGGTTGGGGCCGCTCTGCACAGACCCATGGAGGGCAGGAGCGTGGCACCCTGCTCCAGAGTCAGGGCTCTTTAGCTCCAGGTCGTGGTGCCCAGGCCTGTGCTGGCTGCTGTCAGTCGACCTGCCTGGGTCACCCTCACCTCCACCCAGGCCAAACTGAACCAGAACAACCTGCGAGGAAGGTTGCAGGAGAGAATGGGGCCCCCTCCCAGCCCCGTGCCAGAGGAATCAGCTGTTGTGGGGCCCTGTGCTCAGCAGCCAGCAGCTGGGCCCCCGCTGTGGCATCGACACTTCCCTGCCAGGCTGGGACTCGCACGTGCCTGGCGCTGGGCAGGCCCTGCACAGAGCGCTCTCAGGCGCTGGACAGACAGAGGAGGTGGGGAAGGGGAACAAAGCCAGTCACGCTCACGGCCAGGGGGCTGACAGAGCCCCCAGATAGCAGAGGCCAGGTGGGCTGGCCTGCCTGGTACCGCCCGTTGCAAGGCAGAAGGGCGGCAGGAGCTGATGCCTTCCCTTGGTCCATCGTGCCTCGGTGCGTTTTCTACTCTTGCTGCCCCCATGCAGGGCAGTCTCTGGGAAGCAGCGACACAGTAGTTTCTGTTTTCTCCAGCAGGCCTTGCTCTTTCCCCACTTTCCCACTGCTCACTGCCTGTGCCCTGACCTGCTGTTGGCTATAAGGCCCAGGATGATGTGCACCTCTCTCACATAAACTCTCCAACTCTTGTCCACCGCCTCAGGTCACACGGGCTGCCCATGGAAACCTTCTACTCTGCCCTCCAAGCTGAGATCCGTGCCTTCAAGGAGCAGGTGCGGAGCTGCCAGGAGGGCTTTGACCTGCATGCCCTTTACAAGGTGCTGCTGCTGCTGTTCCCGGAGAGCCAGCCGGGCGAGGTGGAGAGCATAGAGCAGCTGAGAAGGCATGTGGTGTGCAAGGACTGGACACGCCAAGAGGCAGCAAAGCCTCCAGCGGGCGACAGGGACTGCAGCATCCCTGTCTATGTCTCCTGGCTTAGCTCTTACTTAGGGTATTTAAATTCTTTAAAAGACACATTTGATGCCAAGGTGGTGTTCCCCTTGTGCGAGAACCTGTATGTCAACGAGGAGCTGGGGGGCAGGTCAGAGCTTGGGTTGCCTGTGGGCTCCCCCTGCCCCTCTGGTTCTGGGCACGGGAAGGAGGAGCAGCCCTGTGTTGCAGAGTCCATCGCAGACATCGCCAGGCAGCTCTTTGCTATCAGGAGGAAGTGGGCCCTGCTGCTGCAGGGCGGGATGATTGATGACCAGCTGCTGAGCCCCCAGAGCCTGCAAGATCTACAGGGCTTTGCCCATGCCTGTCCCTTCAGGAAGGTCCTGAAGCTGGTCCCCAACATCTTTCACAAGAGCTTGGCCACTGCCGAGCTTGCCCAGCAGTGGGTTGCTCTCCACAGAACCAGGTACAGCTCCCTCCACCTGCCCTCAGGGCTGGGCGGGGGAAGAGGGTGGTGCAGGGGTGACCTGGCTCCTGGCACCTCTGAGGACTTGAGGAATGGGTCCTTCAGGCCCCTAAGCCTTTCTAACAGCTTCTTGGGAGGCTGCTCACAACCCAGAGCGAAGAGCAGCAGCAGTGGCGATGGAGGCAGTGGGGCAGGCAGCGCTGGCCTGGTGAGAGCCCAGCTGCAAGAGAGCCAGGAGGAGCTGATGTCCCTGCTCGGGCGAGCAGAGCGTGCAGGAGCGCTGGAAGCGTGGGTCCGGGGCATCACCCAAAGCATTTCCCACCTGCACCAGCAGCAGCGGGACAAGAGGAGGGAGCTGGACAGTGTCCAGCAGGGCCTGGGGCAGGGTGAGGAGGACATGGCTGAATGTGTGCTGGAGCCCAGCACCCCATGCCAGGCAATCCTGAGAGAGCTGGCAGACTTGGGGAGGCGCCTGGAGCTGGAGGAGTACCGCAAGAGCATTGTGCAGAGTGACTGGATGCTGGAGCTGGCAGTCAGGCCAGCCCTCCTCCGGCATATTGATGTGGTAAGAGGCTCAGCTGCTGGCACTGGCTGTGGATCTGAATGGTGAATGACTGGGGCAGGGCCAGGCTTAGCCTGCAGGGAGGCTGTGGGCATGTGAGCTTTACAGCATGCCGGTTTGCATGTGCAGGTGTGCACGTGTGTGAACTCACATGAGCCTGTAAATGCAGTGGTATGTGGCAGGAGTGCATGGGGCCTTGTAGGGCCTTCAGGACACACTGGTACCCAGTGCAGCAGATCATGAGACCAGTGAGGGCAAGGGTTGGGAAGAAAGCATGTTGGAGCCCTTCCAGTACTAAGGAATGGATCCTGGGATCACAGAGCACCTGGGCTCTCCAGAGATCATCTTGTACAACACCTGCTCCAGGGGATCAGCCCCATCCAAACCATTCCAGAGAAGCTCTGGTCTAACCTATTCCTAAACCCTGTTACACAACTACAAGACCTATTGCCCAAAGACACCAAAAGCAGGTGCCTTTAGCCTGCTGCAAGTAAAGCCAGGGAACAAGGGCTGTCCATGTCCCACTGTGGCAAAGGGTTGATAAAATGCACTGGAGAGATCCCAGAGGCTGTGCCCCTTGCTACATAGGAAGGCAAAACGCCCCACTCCATACCAATCTGACCACTGCGATAAAAATCCCCTCCTGATCCTGTGTAGCACTGGGCTGACCTTGAGCGGAAGAGCAAGGCCCTGTAGCCAGGACCCTCTAGAGTTCAGTCCCAGCAGGAATGGGCTCAGCCAGTGAGGCAAGAGGGAGGGAGCAGGAGAAAGGGGCACGTGGTAGGGAAAGGGAGGGTGCTGTTTCTCAAAGGAGCCAAAGAGCGGGCTCCGCGCAGTGCCTGTCCTCCAGGGCCCCATCAGGCTACAGGTGGCAGAGCCTGGGCACTTACAATGCTGTATCTTCCCTAGGTGCAGCAGCGCTGCAGGGAGCTGGAGAGAGTGGTGCTGGGGTGGGAGGAGGCTGGCCCAGAGCCTCTCCTCTCAGCAAAGATGACAGACTCTGCGTCCTTGCCTGGCTCAGCTCACAGCTCCACGGCACATGCCATGCCAGGGAGTAGAGGCTCTCTTGCCCATGGAAGCTGGCAGGGACAGTGACGGCAGGGGCCAGACTCTACTTCACCATCCGCAGTAATGTGCGCACTGGGCGTGTGCACACATGGTTTGTTGAAAGGGCACATGTGCATGTATCTGTGCTGTGCACCTCCGTGGCACAGCTACCAGTGAACAAGCCTCTGTCTTCTCATGGCAGCTTCATTCTGCCCCTCACCCCATCAAGGGTCTCTGCTGCTTTACAAGCAGCAGGCCAAGCCAGAAAAGCAGTGGGGAGGGGTCTGCTCGCCAGGGGAGTGACTCCTCTGAAGCTACATGTGAGAGCTGGAGTAGAATCCAGGGCCCGAGTGCCCTGCTCAGAGCCCCGGGCTGGGAGCAGGCTACTTACCAGAGTCCAGCACATGCTGCAGTTATGCGGGTCCCGGTAGCCACAGGGGCTCCAGGCAGGGTGGTGGCAGTGGAGGGTGATCATGGGCCAGAGGAAGGGCGGGCTCTAGGCAAGGCGCATATGGCCAGGCCCCCCCCAGTCTCCAAGATGGAAGACTGGCCACCTGCAGCCCCTGCCCAGGGGCTCAAGCACATGCCAGGGATGCAGAGGCCTGTGTTGTGTTCCTGCAAAGGGTTTATTAGTGCAGTTGTTTTCACTACAGTCAGAAGTCACCACACACAGCCAGGCTGCTGGGGACACAGCGACAACAGGCCTCCTACACTACACAAGGAGGACAGGACACACGCAGCCATAGACACACAGAAGACACCAGTTTCCCACCTGCAAGGGCATCCATGGGCATGGCAGGGCTGTGGGGACCAGGCACTGAGCCAGGGCAGTGGGCACCAAAGGGGTTTCTCTCTTTGGGTGGGTATTTCTGAGGCTCTGTAGGTGCAACACGTGACTCCAAAGCCTAGCAAGTGCCCTAGGTGGTAAGGAAGGATCTGTGCCCACTGACGGACAGGAACGGGGCAGAGCCAGGGGCAGACTGGGGTCCCAGGGCCAAGCACTGCTATAGACAGGGATCCCAGGCTGGCACCTACCCTGCAAGGGCACCATCCCCTCCTGTCCCCAGAAAGAGCAGGAGCCCATGGTCTTGGGCCTCCTGCCTGCCAGGGTTAGCCCCCAGCCACATGCTGACAGCACATCACAGATCATCTCTTCAGCTACAGCCTGGGCCTGCCAGAGAGCCAGGGGCCCTAGCCACCCATGCCAGGAACCAGGCCTGGACAGCAAGACACCCCCCATGGCTTCCCTGCACAGAGATATGGCTGCCCTGGGCTCACACCATAGGCCTGAAGACCAGGTTCCTGGTGGCTATTGCTCATTCCCCAGCTACCAGGCACCGCTAATGGGTGACCCAGCTCTGGGGGCAGCAGAAGGAAGGTCTGTAGTGACCTGATCACTGGGGAGGATCCAAGCCAGACTGCCCACCAGGCAGGGAGGGGTCAGGGATCCACAGTGATCCAGTCAGGGGGCTGAGGCCTCCGTGTCCTGAAAGGCCTGAACACCTCAGCAAACCCAGTTGGTGGCTGTTGAGACCGGTGCCTATGGGGGCATAAAATGCCAGGGTGGTGGGGGGACACTCCCCTCAGCCCTACCCCCCAAGGGCACTGCCCACCTGCTCTGTCCCCTTCTGACATCACAAACCTTAGCTGTAACATCACACCTGGTTACCAGGGATGAGTGTGACTTCAGATGGGGACAGACAGCCCCTTACCTCAGACACATGGTGCAGGCTGAGGGAGGGATTTGCTGGAGGTGCTGCCAGCTGTTTTCAGGTCTGGAAAGCAGAAGCACTGTGCAACCCCAGGGAAAGGGCCTGCTCCTCTCAGGGCATAGGCGTGTAGGGTACCCCCATCCCCAGAGCCCCGACCAGGGTCCACAGTCCCCTGGTTCTGCAGAAAGGCACTGGGGGCTCAGAGCAAACCAGGCTGGGCACAAATCCAAGAGGTCAGGGTCACCCAGTGCTGCCCAGGCATGGTGAAGTGTGAGGGGGAGTCTCCTTGTGGCAGCTGGTGACCTGCTGCCCACCCAAGAGCTGTGCTGTACTCTCTGGTTTGCTCATGTGATTGCAGGCCGGCTCCACTGCATCAAGAGGGCCAGAGGGCAGCTTTTTGGGTAGCATTTGGAACAACAGCTGGGCCAGGGCAGCCAGGCCTAAAGGACCATGGGGAGCACAAACACCTGGGGCAAGGCATGGCAGGGTGTGCTGGACCAGGGCACCTGTCAGGCTGAGCAAAGAGGCTGCCTTCAGAGTCTGGCCCCAGGAGGCTGCCGGCCCTTTGCAGGCAAGACTCGCCTGGCACTGTGACTGCAGGAGACACTTCCCTCCCCTCCCAGGGTGGGGCCTGGCCAGGCTCTCCCTCCACAGTGCCTGGATCCTGGGCTGGCATCTGAAGCAGGTGAATGGGAGGTAGTGGCATGGCTCCCTTTAACCAACCCATGCACTGAATGCAGCCCCCAGCCACCGGCAAGGACTGGGGCCAGCTCAGGGCCAAGGGAGCGCAGGGTCCCACGGAGCATCTGGGTGCGAGGCACTTCCCGGCCCCGCTGGCTCTGGGAAGAGGGAGACGGTGCCTCCACTGAGCAGGTGATGGGTGTCATGGGATCAGCTGGGCCGTGCCCCGCAGAGGCCATAGAACAGCTGTTCATTGCTGCAGACCAGAAGCTGCTTGACTTGCTGAGTCTGAGGCCTGTCCAGACAGCCCTGGGTCCAGAAGAGAGCCCAGCATGGGCAGAGGCACCACAGCAGCCGCTCACACAGGCATGTGCAGCTCGTTGTACTCGTCCCGGCCGTCCTCATCGAAGTTTGGCTCTGCGTCCTCCGAGTCCAGCTGGGGACAAGAAGGACTGGCAGTGAGGGCCATGGCTGCTCCCTGAGCAGGTGCTGAGCCCCATATGGTGCCACTGTCCAGCAGACTCTGCCCCCAGGCAGCTGGGACCTGGGACCCCCCCCCCAGCTTTGCCCAGCTGGTTGAAGTTGCTCCCACCCTCTTTGGCTCCCACTAGTCCCAGCCCTTCCCTCCCTCCTGCTTCTCACTCTCCTGCTGCTGGGGGCTGCCCCTGCCTCTCCTCCTGTTACAGGACAGCCACCATTGGGGAAGGCCACAAGACGACTCCTTCCTGCCAGAGCCTGATCCGGGCCCTTCCCTGCAGCAAAGAGGCACCAGTGACCTGTGACCAGGGGCTAGAGAAACCTGCCTTCAGCAGTGGGAGTCTGTGGGAGGCTGGCAGGCAGGCTGGCCTGTCTTGGCTTCTGCCACAGAGGAGAAAGACCAGGGATCTGCATACCAGGCAGCCCTGACTGTAGAGAGACGAAGCAAGGACCCCTGCCTCTGACTTCAGGCCTCCCCACAGCAGCAGCATCTTCCCCCCCTTTCACCCATCTCTCCTTCGCCAGCTGAGCTCTGGGATAGGGTCTCCCATGGCTCTGGGGAGCTGCACTGGGTCCAGCCAGCACCCAGCAAGCAGTTGCCTCCAGGACGCCACTGCAACCTGGACACTGTGGCACTGGGGAGGAAACCTTGGGTGGGGGAGCAGCTTACAGCTTTGAGCTCCCTATCCTGGAAGAAGCGGGGCAGCACGAAGCGTCGCAAGGGCACTGTCATGATCAGCACGAAGGGGAAGGCCAAGGAGGCCACGGTCGACTTCACCACCCAGAGCAGCACAATGCAGGCCAGTTGGATGAGGGTGAAGAGGTTCATCCTCCAGGTCTTCACCTGGGGAGACAAGACCAACCTAGCAAAAAGCCACGTCTTGCCTGGCCTAGCAATGAACCACCCTAGCAACATGCCATGCCATGGCCCATCCTAGCAGTGTGCCACCGAAGCAACATGCCACGCCACGGCCCATCTTAGCAACGTGACACCCTAGCAATGTGCCATGCCATGGCTCATCCTAGCAATATACCACCCTAGCAACATGCTATACTCTGGCCCATCTTAGCAACATGCCATGCTAGCATCACACCATGCCTCCACACATTCTAGCAACATGCCATCCTAACAACAATCCATTCCCTCGCCCAGTCTAGCAACACACCATGCCACGGCCCAGCCTAGCAACGTTCCAACCCAGAAACACGCCACACCTCAGCCCACTCTGGCAATGCATTGTGCCTCCATGCAGTCAAGCAATGCACTGTCCAGGCAACACGCCATTGCTCAGTCTAGCCACATGTCTTCCCAGCAACACACCTTGCCATGGGCCAGCCCATCAACACATGATCCTAGGAATGCACCATTCTATTGCTGAGACTAGAAATGCACCGTCCTAGCAACGCATTAAGCCATTGCCCAACCCAGCAGCATGCCACATCATGGCCCAGCCCAACACCGTACCATCTTAGTAGCACGCTATGACATCGCCCTAGCCATGCACCTCCCTAGCAATGTGGCATCCTAGCAATATGCTATATGCCTGTCTAGCCTAGAAACAAGCCATCCTAGCAACCCACCATGCCTCCATCCAGTCTGGCAACTTTCCAGCCCCCCCTCCCGGAGAGTGCCATACAACAGTCTCACAACACACTACCCTAGCAAAAGGTCATGCCTCTGCTCAGCCTAGTGGTGCAGCATCCCAGCAATACAGCATTCTTCCACCCAGCCCGCACACATCTCACCACCCACCAGCAGCGATGCACCACATGCCAGCCCCTGGAGCAGTGGTCTCCCTGTTGTGGTCAGTCCCCATACTGCCCAGGCCCCCACTGGTCTCACAGCTCCAGAGAACTGGTAATTCAGCACCCACAGCCAGGGCTATTCAGTGCTTGCCTGCGCCCCCCAACAGAAACCTCCCCGCCACCTGTCACCCACTCCCCCGGCTGCAGCTCCCACCCGCCTTGCTCACCCACCTTGACAACGTAGATGTGATCAGGGTGGTGCTTAGACGGCATAAAGATGAGGAGCAGCCGCTCGTAGAGCTGGATGCCAGTGAGAGATGTGACCCCCATGTAGAGGAAGATCCCGAAGAGCACGGCCAGTGGGATCTGCCGCAGCACGTTACCCATCACGATGGACAAGCCTGCAATGATGGTGCTCAGGGCTCACCATGCACACACCGGGGCCCCCTGACCCCCCAGCACTCAGGCACCCCTGTCTGCTACAGGTAGGGGGTAGGGTGCAGGGGGGTGGGAGGCTGGCTGCAGCGGAGGGGTAAGGCACTGGCTGTGGGGGGAGTGAGGCACAGCCACTGTCTGGGGAGCAGGTAGGGATGGGTGTTTATGTGGGGGTTGGGGCAGAAGGGAGGACTATGGTGAGATGGGGCAGAGCACTGGCTGTGGGAGCTGTAGGGAGTGAGACAGAAGGGACATGGGTGCAGGGGCCCCAGCTGTGGAGGTGGAGGGATGTTGCTCCAGGCTGCTGTGAGCAGTGGGGCAGTTGGTGTCCTGGGTCAGGAATCCTGACAGGTACTCTGGAGGGGAATGGGGCACTGCCTGGGGGGACAGGGGAGTGATGTTAGCTGTAGGCAGCTGGGCAGGGGTATCTCTGCCCACACCTTGGCTCAGTGCAAGCCGCATCCCTTGCTAGCCCACCCCCGCGCCACGCAGCTCAGCCTCACCAACAAGGGTGGCAATGAGTACGCCCGTGACCCGCTGCTCCTTCACCTCCTCGATCTTGGGCTTCTCCCCAGGTGCAATGGCCTTGCTCATGACAGTTAAGGCATTGACATGGGTGATGGAGCGCACAGTGGCTGCCGTCAGCCAGGGCAGCCCGAACAGGGCGCAGAGCCCACCCATGGTGCCAATTAGCAGCAGGTCCAGGTGGAAGCCAGAGCCTTTGAGCAGCTTCCGCTCCTTCTTGCTGACGATCAGGCTGGGGCAGGAGCAGAGGGAGAGCAGTCAGCACTGGTGGGCTGCACTACACTGCAGCTGTGAGGGAGACATGAGGAGCTGGGCGGGGTGGAAAATGCCTCTGCCCCGGACCAGAACCATATCTGCCACCCCAGGGAGGCATCCTCTCCTGGGCTAGGCTGGGGCAGAACAGGCAGACAGCGTCCTGTGCACACAGGCCTGTCTGGGCACAGCAGGGAACCCATGCTGCAGCTGTGAGGCAGAGAAGGCCGAGGCAGGAGGCTCCAGTGGGCAGAGGTATCATTCTCACCAGTACTCAAGGAATCCTGCCCACCTCTTTCCATGCCAGGTGCCCTGCTGTCCGGATCCAGCAACAGCCTGAACACCCTGGGCTGACCCCACCCACACTGGTGCCCTGCACAGACCCCTGGTGCTGGCTCCGATGACCAGCAGCTCACAGGCAGTGGCACTCACGTGGTGATCTGCGTCTCCATGAAAATGAGGATGAAGACCAAAAGTGCAGGAATGGCCGAGGCAAACATCATCCACATTGGGAAGGCCTGGCTGCTGCCCAAGGGGTGGATGAACCAGCCGCGCTTGTCGGGGGATGTGACGGAGAGGCCGGCAGGGACGTTCAGCTTCTGTAGGAGCAGTCCGACATGATATGAACATCCTCGTTGCATCCGGCCCCATGGCCCAGGCAGCGCGCACCCCGCTTTGGGAATCCAGCACTCTTAGCCCCAGCCCTGACCTATACTCAGCACCACACAGCACCATAGGGCCCCTCTACTCGTGGGGCTTGGCTCTGGCTCTGGGCATCACCAGTTCTGAGGCCCTGAGGGACCAACTGAGCCACCTGCTACCAAACTGACCTCTGTGTCCTGCAGGCCAGAAGCCCTTGCCCTGTGATGCTGCACACAGAGCTTAGAGAAAGATGCCAAGCCTCAGCCTGAAAGCCCCAGAGCTGCCACCTCTGCCCTGCCCTGGCCAGCTGTTCATGGCCATTCCCCCTCGCCCACTCCCAGCCCCTGTCAACAGCCCGCCTCTCCGCTCCAGCCAACCTTCCTCTCACTTCAGCTGTTACTGGTCATCGATTCAAGGCTGGGGAGCCACTGCTCTCAGACCTTCTGCCCGTGGGGGCGCTTCCACACGAGAGCTGAGGCACCTTGTAACCTCCCTGCAGGTCACTGGAGCAGGCCACACTCCCCCTCTCTGCAGCAGGTTTCGCAGCCCTCTTGGGGCCCATCTATTTGTTCCCTTTCTGGGGCACCAACCCCGGACCCAGCTGCAGCCTGCAGGCATAGCCAGAGGCTACCTTCCTCCCTCCTCTGCCAATCTGAGAGTGCACAACTCCCAGCCACCCCCAGTTCTGCCCCTGTTTTGATGCCACATGCAGCCCTGCCCAAGCTCCAGCCCTTGAAGGGACTCCAGGTGCCAGAGCTCTAACTCCTGGGGGCTGCAGGAACAGTGCACTGAGGTCTCTAGCTTGCCCGTTACACTGAGGAGGGGGGAGGTGATGGGCCTGGCTACATGGGTGCGGTGGCTCGGTACTGGCTGCATGCGCAGGGCCTAGGGCAGTGCTTGCCCTACCTGTGTGTAGGTGTCCGTGATGGTGTAGTCCACCAACACCATGACCAGGATTGAGATGGGGATCCCAAAGTCTCCAATGATGCGCCGAGCCTGTGGAGTGATCATTGTAGCAGGGATAAGCTGGGCCCCTCCAGAACATGGATCTCCATGGTCCCAAGCAGAGAGTGCCTGGATGTGTTGGGGCGGGGAAAGGCAGCAGCAAGAAGCGCAGCACAAGTGAGTGCTGCTAACTAGTGGATGGTGAGGGGCCCAGGTGTACCAGGCTGCTCTGACGTGGCTGGCCCTGGCCACATGGGGTGTGAGTCTGGCAGTCCCCAGCCCCACTGCACTTGGAGATGCCTCTGAAAGCACATGGGGACTACAGCCCTGAGCATGCGAACAAACCATGAGCACAACCCTCCCTCCTGCTGGCCAGGTCATTTTGACCTGATGCTGGAGACCTCTCACCCCTGCTCGTCACCCTCCCTAAGATCAGCCTGGAAAACAGATGTTGGTCCTTGGGAGCTGCTCTGCCTGGGAGGCTCCAGTGCAGCAGACTCTGGGCTACAGACTCTGTCAGAGAAGCCTTGCTGGCCCTGGCGCCCTGGGTGCAGAGATGGGCAGGAGCGGCCGTGGATGGCAGTGATGGGGGCCAGCAGCACCCAGCTGCTGCAGCCATCTCCTTCTGCAGCCTGGGGCAAAGCCATATCACAAAGCCAAAGGGCTACTGGTATGTTGACTCACTCAGTCATTGCAGAGACCCCTGCACCAGCCCTGATGTGTCAGAGCAGGCAGCAAGGTGGGTTTCTGGAGGGCAACGCCTGGGTGGAGGGGCTGGGGGCAGTGTGTGCAGAAGAGCCACAAGCCTGGGCACCTACCTTCCCTCCCAAGAAGCGGCTGTTCTTGAACTTGCGCATGAAGAAGGCAATGAAGAAGGTGCCCAGCATGAGGATGAGGGAGAGGAGGGCAGTATTGGGCTGCATCCGGGTTCCCAGTGTCATGGCGTCTGCAGAGGGTGCGCTGGTGTTCAGGCTGCCTTGCAGGCTTGGTGGATAAAACTTTAGCAGGGGGTGCTCTGCAAACACCTGGGCAGGGGGGCATGAGGGGGCATGTCACTGCCTGCAGGGGGATGGGGGGGGGGGGGA